TCTGAGTTGTGATCCATGCTAGGGAGATGCTAAGCCTCTTTCCATAATGAAGTAATCAAACAGGGTAGGGTGCCCCTTACCAAGTCACAAAAGGGCCTCCTAATGCTTGCTGAGCAGTTCTGAGAAGTAAGCCTCTTTGTTACGTCTTGTTTAGTTTTAGGGTTTTTTTTTTAGTATAGAAACATAAGATTTTCTAAGATATAAAAGATTTTCTGATGTTTGTCCCCATGAATCTTTTGGGAATTATTCAATTATCCAGTAGTTGCTACTAGAGGTCTCCTTTTCTGTTGGAAAATAACCAAAGGAAGGATATAGCAAGAATGTTAGACTTGAGTTTTACTTTGTCTGGGTTGGCTGTTTTTCATGTTGCTCTAACAACACCCCCGTCAAGAGCAACTTATAGGAGAAAGTGTTTATGTTGATCCTCATCTTTAGGGGGTTGGTCATTACTGTGGGAAATCACAACAGAAACAGAGGGCAATGCATGCTGGTTATGAGTTCATTGTCTCCTTTTGTAAAGTCCATGATCCTAGCCTAGGGAATGGTGCTGCCCACAGTAGGTGGTGTGTCTTTCCACCTCAATTTGCAAGAATCTAGATAATCCCTGTCAGGCATATCCAGAGACTCATCTCCAAAGTGATGTCACCAAGTTGGCTATTAAAATTAACCACTACAGAGGATTTAGAAGTACCTTGATTCAAGCCAGGAGGTGGTAATCTTAAAAGGCTGATGGTCTGAGAGGATACCCTGACCAAGATGGGCCAGGTGAGCAAGGTGATTTCTCAAGTCTTTGCTATGAAGGAGCTGACCTTGAGTTCAAGGAGGCAGAGAAAATGTTAGCATCCTGCAATGGACGGACACACACACACACACACACACACACACACACACACACACACACACACCATTCTGCTGATTTTCAAATGATGTGTGGAAGACTCAATTGAGTGGGAATTTAGGACTTCCGTCTCTTTTGTCTTGCTCAAAACAATAATGCACCTTCTGCTATAGCTACTCTTGTCTCTTCTTCCTTGGTCTAGCCTGTCTCTTTGGAGCCCAACACTAGCTCTTCACAGTACATTAGAACTTGCATTATAGAGAGACTTCAAGGAGTGGTGGGGGGTGGGCAGGGGCACAGGACTGCTGTGTTTGGGGGGTCTCTCTTGTTCCTGCATGCCTCTGTGTGGCAGAGGCTTTGTGAATTTCCTTTTGGTGCCACAAAACATCCCCTACAGATAGCACATCCACACTGTATTGACCTGGACCTTGCTTAAGCTCTAGTGGTCTTGATCATGCCCAGAATGAAGGTGTGATTGTTTAGCAAGGATGACAATGCCACACAATCACATCTTCTCATCAAATGCTGTAGGTGTTTCAGCAACTCCTGGGGGCAAAACTTGACCCCAGTGCTCCTGGTGGCCTAGGTTAGGCCACAGAAGCCATTGTTTCCATCCCTTCTCGAAACAGTAATAGTAACTGGGAACACAGTATTTAACACATGAACTTCTGAGGTTTGTTTTATGTACAAACAATGCACATAGGGAGAGGTCATAGTCAAGCAAGGAGATTAAGACCAGAATATGCATTAGGATGATCTGGGAAGCATTTTAGAAGTTCTAGTATCTGGACTGGACCTCAGAGATTCTGAAATGGATGCAACCTTCTGTGGACACATGGGCAGACCTGAGCCTCCCAGTGATTGTCACATGCAGCTGAGATGGAGAAACAGGAAGCAGGAAGAAGGTTGATGACCTGGAAAACAGAATGTAGGTATCACCTCATCAGCAAGCTTCCATGACCCTTACATGACACTCATGATACATATCTTTTAGAGTACTCTATAGGTGTATTACAGGAAAGTATGTTGCTGTAAGGGAATGTAATGCTTCTTCCAGGGTGTAATTATATTTCTGTGCATTCATATTTGGGGTCTTGGAATGTAGCATACCCTGTAGCACAAAATGAGAATGGAATAAACAGAGAAAGGGAGGATAGGAGTGAATGTGGTTTTAGCCCAGATGACCAAGGCTTTGGGAGTGTCAAGACATGTAGGTGAGCCTTTATCCAGAGAACTTACCAGTGATAATAGTGGGCCAAGAGCATGCTGGCTTGTTAGCAGGTAAAGCTCCTCCCTCACCTGCTGCACAAAGCCATCCACACTGTCATGTGTAATTACACTGGTCCATGTGTCAGTGACGATAGGAAAGCCCTCCTGTGGCTTACTTAGGAATCTCTGTAACCTCACCTGAAGCTGCTTCTGTAATAAACTAGTGTAGAGTGTTGCCTTCCCACCCTGGTTCCAGAGCCGCATGACTCCCAAATGAACACACAGGAGGCTATATTAATTATGAAGCTGTTGGCCATTTATTCTGTTTCTTACTGGCTAGCTCTGACTTAAGTATTTACTCCATAATTGTCAATCTAAGTATTTCTCTTACTGGAGAAAAGAGTCAGGACCTCTTGCTCCTGTGGTGGGCTACATTGTGTCTGATTCTGCCTTTCTTTCCCAGAATCCTCCTTGACTCCTAGTCCCACCTATCATGCTTCCCTATTGGCCAACAGTGCTTTATTCAACAACCAATAAGAGACAGATTTACAGAATTACATCTCCCATCAAACTAGGGAGGAAATAATTCTTCCAAAGACCCATTTAATTAATCTTTCTTTTATCCCTCTTCACCTCTGATTGTTGAGTTCAGAATTCATGCTGCATCTGTCAGTGCCCCTGGGGTAGAAGGGTGTGCTTGGAGTGCAGAATAAGAAACCAAGCAAGGCAGGACAACAGGGTTGAGGCATAGGGCATCTCTCAAAGATCCTATTTCTGCAATAAAAGGTTGCTGAGTTTATATTATCTATTAGCTACTGTGTTGGAAGTAGGGATACAGAGAGGTTAAGTTCCAAATGGAGACAAATTGAGACAGTGGCAGGAAAGCAAGCCATACTTGTTAGAGGAATCATGAGGAAGGCCTGCAGCATCCTGCAAGCACACTTGTTTAAGAAGAGTTCAAGAGAGAGGGTGAACCTTAGACTGATAGCATAGAGCAGTGTCATCACCAGATGGTCAGAGACAGAAGGAAGGGTACAGGGATAAAAGGCATGGTAACCTTGGGTAAGGAAGCAAAATAATGCTGAGTGCTGATGCAATAGGTTGGCTGTTATTAGTGAAGATTCTTGCAGAAGAGTCCAAATATGAATTACCTAGATTGAATGCAAAAGCCCCTCTTCTAGTATGGAGTTTTCCCAGTGACGCAACCTATCCCTAAAGTCTACTTCCTTACACCCTTGTCTGTCTCTGACCACTCGTTATGACACTGCTCTATGCTATCAGTCTAAGGCTCACTGGTGCTGTGTGGGACTGAGCAATCAGTGGTCGTCAGTGGATGAAACCCGCAGAAGATGCTGTGTTTAACTGGAGGGTTGCATCTTGAAGCTAGTCATAATGGTGAAACTAGAATCTCCAAGTGTTAAGAGCCTCGCTGTGCAGCAAACACCTCCTTTGGTGTTCTCTTGCTCTTAGATACCTCTTTTCACCTGCTTTCCCTTCATCCAGAGTCAAACCTCAATCCAATGCAATTACAAAGCTGTATCTGGAAGAAGTTGTTTGCTTTCTGCTTTCAGTGAGAAAACTGGGGCACAGGATGAGAGAGGGAAAATGCCTAGATTTGAATGGCTGTGGCTTTGTGAAAACTCTACACCACTCTTGCTGGTCTGCATTCCTATCTCTGCGATTACAAAGACAGAGACTCTCTCTTACTAATCACGTGTCCTTCTTTTGCCAAACATGTGAGCAAGACAAGGATCTAAACCAGAAGCTCAGAGGGCAGGCTTCTTGTTACTCCTCAAAGGAGCATTTTATCTTCTGACCTTCCCATAATTCAAGTTTCTCCCTTAGAGTACGGGCTTCCCCATTCTAAACCAGTTCCCTGTCCAACATGTTCTCATCAAAAGCGTCTTCTCCGAACACTCCAGGCCCCACTGTAGTCTGACTGACTTACATTGTAATTAAGGCATCCTGGAATTCTCCTTAAGGAGTATCAAGTGATGGTTAAAAAGATAATGATGGGTTATAGCCACTGAGAGCCTGCCTAGTAACCTGGCTAGTTAAGTACTCTGGGATTATAAGGAGAATCTTTTTTTTCCTGAGATATTTTTAAATAACTACTGAGGTAGAGCATGTGGTTTCATGGTTAGAGAGTCCTTCAGTTAAATCCTAGCTGGGCGAAAATTGGATATTCTACTAAATCACCATCATTTTACTTTCTGTGAAAGGGTGGCTCTAATATTCTGCAGAGCAGGTGGTTGTATGTACTGAATGTAAAGCATGTGTAAGATGTCTGGTCCTCCACCTGTCAAATGATCAGTATTAGTAAGTGGGAGTCGTTGTGATTATAAAGCACCAAGTTCGGAGTTTAATGAAACACAGAGTAGATTCCAGTGCAAGGCTCTCTGCTCTGGGTATGTGGGCCTAAGGGAGGATGCTATGGATTATCGTACTTTGGTGGAATAGTGCAAAGTAATCCCAGACTAGGATGCTAACGTTTGGGAAAACTGGGTTCTGAGGTGATGGGATTAGAAGTTCAGGGTAGAGAGTTGAAAATGGGTAGCAACTATTTATAAAAGGAGAAAGGACATACTAGACCAGATATTCCTGAGAATCTAGAAATAGCTTGCATTTAAAACATGCTTGAAGAAGAAAGACATAGACTTGGGATAGACACTGGCTGACCTTGTATGGGACCATGGGCTCCGAATATTAATCTATAGACAGGGATTACTAAATAGTTTATTCTTCTTATTGCTAACTCTCTTAACTTACACATTCAAAGAGACGGGATAACACAATTCTCCATTATAAAGCATCAGGCATGTTATAATACCACATTGTTTTAGCATGTGAGGGAAAGGATAGAAGACCAGAGCATTTGGTAAAGAGCCCAAGAGGAGGACTGGAGCAGCACAACAGAGCTAGATCTTTGACTGAGCCTGTTTTACCCCTACAGATGCTGAATAACCCGGAGAAGATAGCTGAGCAGATCAGTAAGGATCTTGCCTGGCTGGCCTCCCATTTGATGTCTCTGTGGACCCAATTCTTGGATACAGTGACTCTGCACTCCCAAGTGACCACTTATCTCACCCAGGAACACCATACTTTGAGGGTAAACTGTAAAATTCTAATAAACTCTCTGAGTGCATGCATTTATACTTAAAGAGAAATTTTGCAAGAGTTGGTTCTTTGCAAAGAACACGACTTGGCATTGTGCCAACTATTGATTCAATTTCAACACTGGTCCCAGTGAACTGTGAATGAGCACTGGGACATAAAAACTCACTTAGCTATTCAGCCCCATTCTGTCATTCATAAAACATCTTTTTTATCTATGGCTGATGATAGCTGAAATTAACTATTACAAGTGTCTCCATATCCTTAAAAAGAAGTGCTTCCAAATGTAAGGTGTTGTCCTCATCCTGGCTGTATACGTGTAGGTATTAATAGCTGTGGAGTGATATTGATCTTCTCACTTTGGGTAAGAGAAATAAGTGTCTGACAATGAGACTTCACAAAGCACATTGTAATTGCTTCTGGCTTTAGAAATTCTCCATTTATAAGGCCCATTTGGGAAAATCTCATGTTGTGCTAGGAAGAATAAAACTCGAATATAAAAATGAAAGCAGAACAGGAATGAGTCTATAAACAAACACTCCACTGTTTGGGCTAAGAGCTTCAGAGACATGTGGGCAGCTGCGGAGGGTGGAAAGCCTCTTGTGTCAGACCTCTAGGTGTAGGCACAGCTTTCTTTCCATTAAAACACAACACTTAATCTTCAGACTCTCAAGTTGAGAAAATGGAGGTCATATCTACTTGAAGAATTAAGCTGTTTACATTGTCCTCCCTCAGGTCCGAAGGTTTTCTGAAGCTTTCTTTTACAAGGAGCACCAAAAACTTGCAGTCTTGACCTTTCAGGAAAACCTGTAAGTACTAAATTGCACACCCACTTCACCCTGTTAAAGTGGCCACCCACGGCATTCAGCTTTCTTTCTTTGTTCCCACTTCCCTTTGCTTTCATCTCTTGTGGTGAAACAGACACTCTGGTCCCTTCTGCACACTCTGCTCACAATCCTGTGCAGGCAAAGAAAGTGTACACATTGGGGAGGCGGCAGAGAGGGTAGATAGCCAAAGGTTTCTTGTGTTACGTGCCATTATGGTTCTATAGAGAACAATCAAGACTTCCTACATCTCTGCAGACACCTGTGCTGAGTTCTCTGCAAAATGAAGAGAAGCAGGGGGTGTGGCCACATTCTATGTCAGAAAAGCCCAATGATGCAGTAGCTGAAATATATATTTAACACAATAGTTAAGCCCAAGATCCCTGATCAGGAGGAATGATTCCTTTCTAGGATTGCCTTCTTCCAGAAAGAATTGGAAAGTATCAAGGAAGTTTGAGTGGTGATAAGAGATGAGGTTTCTTAGGCTCTCTGAGGAAGACACGGGGAAACCACACCAAGATCTTTTTGTCACTAATATTTTGTTTTGAGCAATCTGATCAAAATATAATGGTAAGGAGGGAGTCATGTTTGAGAGGCCACAGTGAATCTATTAGAAGAATCTGGGGAAATTTTCTTGTTGCATAAGAAACAACCAGAAATCTGTCATTTTTGTGTATATAGCCCTGTTACCTCCACAGGTTTTATTCTGTATGCAAACTACAGTGACATTTAGTGTTTGCTTTTAGGTTTTGAAAGTGAGTTGGATAGAAAGGAAAATGAATCTGATTGTGAAACTAGCTGGCTTGGATATTATTAGAGTCTTCAACAAGTACATCAATGCATTCATTTATTCATTCATTCATTTCAACCTTAGGCTAGAACTGGCTGATTAATTCTAAAACTAGCATTTGAAGTACAAATCTGTTGAATTTAAATATGACTTTTAGGGACACTGAACAAGATACAGAAACCTATAACTACAGAAAACAAGCAAGCAAACAAACAAAAAACCCATGACATTCCTGTAAGTCTCTACAATACAAGAAAAACCTTGGAGTTATGTTCTGTTGTGTGAAACTTTTTCTTAGGGAGTATGAACACGCGTGGAATTGAAAGTCACAGAGGCCAATGCTCTCTATATTGACTAATTGTCTCATTGCTGGATTAAAATACTAAAGAGCATCTAATTAAAGAAGGGTGACCCACAATTTAAGGGGTCATCCTGGCAGGAAGTCACGGCTAGTCACATGGCATCTAAGTCAAGCAGAGCAAGAAATGTACTCAGTTCACTTCCTCTTTTGACCTATAGTATTGAGTCTGGGACCCCCACCCTATTGATGGTAGCACATTCAGAGTGGATCTCTCCTCCTCAGTTACACTTTGGAAAAATGCTCACAGACATGCCCAGAGGTGTGTCTCCTAGGTGATTCTAAATCCAGTTGACCTGACAATGAAAATTAACCATCACACACTCTCCATTCACAGTGTGGCTGGAATGCCAGTCCTCTCTCTAGACACCTATGCAAAGTATTGATAACACAGTGATTTGCAATGAGTGATTCCTTGAAAACTTCAGTTTTCTGTTGCCAATTTAATCTCCACTGCAGCTAATTGTGATGGTTGGCTTTTGCCAATTTTATCAAATTTAGAATCAACTGGGAAGGGAATATAAATAACACATGGTCCAAATTAGTTTTGCCTGAGGGAATGTCTATGGGCATTTTCTTGATCACAATGATGGGAGTGGGAAGACTTGCCCACTGTAGGTGACACCATTTCTTGGGCAGGGCATCCTGGATTATGTAAGAACAGCTAAGTGCAGCATGCATCTGCTGTTCCCTGATCTTCACTTTGACTGGCCATATGCTTTCATCTGTTGCTGTGACTTCTCTGCAATGGTGGACTATAACCTAGAAATGGGATCCACATAAATTCTTCTTTCCTTAAGCTTCTTTTATCACAGCATGAAAAAAGGAAATCAATAAACTGCTCTTAGTTTCCTTCACTACAAAATGGTCTAAAGTAAAAGATGAAAGGACAAAGTGGGAACATCCACACATGGCACCCAGAGTACAAGCTACAGATCCTCCTCTGTAAATGGTGACGTAAATGCAGATGGTGATTGATGAGCGAACATCAGTTGTCCAAGTGGACCATAGATGAAGCAAAGAATACTGTGATGTAAGTTTCTCTTTCCAATAGATAGGCGACATATAAATTAACTCATTCAGGTAGTTACTAGCATCAGAAAGTAAGAAAGAAGAAACGGGAATAGGAAATGAGAAAGGGGTATGACTAATGTTCTGAGAAATGGTTAATAACTTTTCCTACAATCCCAAGCCAGGACATGTACTGTATAGCATTTGTCCATTTTTGCCAAGTGAATTCCCTACAATGGTGTTATCATGAAGTATGAAACTAGAAAGAGACAAACACAGCTTGCTCCTGCAAGCTAGCATCAACTGTCCTTTATGTGAAATTTTCTGTGCACCGTGGACTGATTTTTGGCAAAGTGGTAAGAGAAAAAAATAGAGGAAGTGACAATTGACCTCAATTCCAGGTGATATTGAATCCCTGTGGAAGTTGTTTATTCAGCAGGAAGTGCTTCTAGTAGTGTTATGAATTCAAGGAGAATGGGATGGAGGGAAATAGGAAGATATGAGGGAGTGGGAGGGAAGACTAACTCATGTGGTGTCTTGCACACCACAAAATAATTCAGGTTTGCCCTTTGCTCGAGTCCAGCTCCACATGAGGGCAGGGTCTGAAGATGGGATGTAAGAGTGGCGACGGGAGGAATCAAACATGGACACTTCTTAGCTTTTAGGAGAGAGGGACAGAGGGGAAGCACATTCCCTGTGGAGAAACAGGTCACAGCAGGGATGTAAGGTGTGGGCTAGGAAGGGAGGGAGTCGGCCATGATGGTTGGGAGAATTTTGCAGCCTGACTGACTGGCAGCCAGGGTGCTTTATTTATACAGAATTTAGTAAGCAGGGATTCATTCATGTTGCTCCAAAATATAGATCATTTTTTGGTTTTGGACATGTGTTTTACTTCCTTTAACTCATCTTTTAGTCATCATTAGTAAACTATGACAAAGCAGAATTATCATTTACAATCATTTTCCCTCAAGTTTTGACATCATCTATAAACAGTTCTCTTTTATAATCATTCTTACTCACTAAATCTATAATTTCTAAGAATCTAGAGACATATGACACACCTGTTCTTAGGCTAGTAGTTTTTGTGGCTACAAGGGCACTAGACCAAAACAAAATCTTCAAGCTGACCTGAGCACATTTCCAAGTAGTATATTATTAACTATTAGTAGTCAGAGTGCCCAAGAAAAGTCCTCAGACCAAAGCTGCTGCAGTTATTATTGAAATTCTGGCAAAATACAATGTTTATATTTTGTACCTTTTAGAATTTCTCCGTATGTCTAATCCTGGCATTCTGTTATTCCTTAGTTATGTGATGCCACAGTGGTTATGCATGTGCCAACTTTTCTAAGAAAGAGAGGTCCTGACATCTCATTCTCTTAGCATCTTTCTACTTCATATTCTGCTCAGCAATATGAGTCTCTGTGTGTGGCTGAGGTAACTTCAGCTAATCTGACTTTGTTGCGATATATGCTACATAATTGCCTGAGTGTAGAGTGGGTAGAGGTTTGTAATCTGATCTGTGGCCAACTCCTTTAGCCCACAAAATCTTGTTCATCCTTTTTAGTTTGCTTTGCTTTGAATATCTTGTTCCTGTGTAAGAACAGGAACAGATGTTCCAAGAGTGTCTCCTAGCCTCATAAAGAGACCCCTGACTTCTTTATGTGTGTCACAACCTCCAAGGCACAAGGAAGACCTTCACGTATATAAGGATATCTCCCTTAAAAATGGCAGGAATAATGTTCAGAACTGTCCCAGGGTAGCTTAGAAGAAGCATTCCTGGGGAATGCATAAGTGACTCATAAGAAATTGTCCATCGATATAATATCCCCAAATTGTACCAACATTAAAAATGCCCCAAGTAGGCAACAGGTGGAGATGAAAACCCAAGGCAACCATCACGCAGCTCAGCATTGCTGGTTCTTTGTCAAGCGGCTGTGTTGGCCTTATGATTTTTGCCATTCCCACCAGATATGACTGTGCAACAGACTCATGATAATTTCAGTTCATGCATTATTAGCCTGAAAAGGAAGCTGGATCTCAGTATTTCAAATCCCATTTACATGTTTTAACTTCTTGATTCTACTTAAACTAGCATGCATTCCTCAACCTCTCTTGGCCAGTTTCTTAGATACAAAAGGAGATTCCTTTTTTCAGTTAGTATCTATATGCTTTTGTTTGTGTTCCAGATACTATTTCAGTTGTGGGCTATTCAGAGGTGAACCAAACAGTCAAAATCCTTCTGTACAAATAAATAAATGTGTTGACCAAATAGTGATGAGAAGTATCTATTAATTTAAGAGGAATAATATTGATGTGTTTGTCAGTCATGGTCTCCCTGGCAACACAAGAGTGAAGGTCTGTATCAGACTGAAGTTTTCAAGCAGATCATGTCTTATACAGCAAGTAGATTGGATGACATTTTCAGTATTCAGTTGACAATATCAACACAAGCATCAAGTAGAGAACAAGTTATCTGAAAGATGCTACTCAGTAGGAAATAAACTTTTGTCAAAATAAACCTTGTCACCAAGAGCACAGAGATTTCATTTCAGAATGAGAAAATCATGGAGAAAGTAAATAAGTGCTGCCAACAGAATGAGTTTTGGGCTAGGATATTGAACAAGAACTGCGTAGGACTAGCAGGGGTGGCCAGACACATTTATACTCATTATAGCTAGACAAACAAACCCTGATTCAGGGATAACTACCTGCTCACATGGAAGGCATAAACTATATTCCAACAGCCGTATTGATGATGGAGTGTTAGTATGCAGAGGCATAGGTGAGCTCATCTGTAAAGATCCATTATAGTCTTACCTGGAAGAGATTTGTGTCAAGGATGAATTTCCACCACCTTTCAATAGACTGTGAAATTAATGGATGGATTTGGGACAGATCTTTATAAATGATACAGTCTGGGATGTCACAGGACAAGATATAATGTATGGTTTTAGGGAGGTGTGTTTGCTTATGTTTGTCAGTGTACATGGGTGTAAGAATGTATGTTTATCATGAAAGTGACTGACCAGCCATCAGGGATAATTTGTGTAATTTGAGATTTAGCCTGGGTTTATGGCAAGGCTGATTGTGACTGGTCCACTTCTCTGTTCCATGTCTCAGTGATGCCTTTCACACAATAAAGAGGATCACATAGCTGTAGAAGAAGATGGTGTAGAGATTCATAGTGCTATGCCAACCTCTATAATTGGGAAGCTGAGATACCACCTCAATTTTCATAGTTCCTATATTAACCATTAAAACAGGTTAAGTTATAATTTTTAATTTTAATCAAAATATTATTTCATCACTTTCCCTCTTCTTTTTCCTCCCGCCAACTACTCCCATTTTCCCTTTACTCCCTCTCAGAGTGAGTACATATATGTGTATAACTATATAATATGTATAATATCCCAATGAAGTGATCAGCCCTACTTATATGTTTATTAAATATATCATTAAATATGATGAACATTTATCATAAATATATAAGTAGGACTGATCACTTCATATGGAATAACCAACGAAAAGCTCATTTCTGAGGGAGACTAATTCTCCCTCTTTTCACAATCATTAGTTACATGTAGCATCTGCAACATTGTTCAACATTTAATAGGACATCTCTGGACCCATAGAGATGTCTCAGTTAGGAAAATGGTTTCCATGCAAACCTAAAGACCCAAGTTCAGATACCCAGTCCCCATGTAAGAAGCAAGGTGTCATAGCAAGCAGTTGTAATACCAGCATTGCAAAAGAAGAGATGTTAGCATCTTTGGGGTTTGTTGACCATCCAGTTTAGCTGAATTAGTGAGCATCAGGCTCAGACTGACAAGCTCCACTATAATCTGTATGGAATCCAGAGAACCAGAGAAGCTAACGGTGTGGCTCAACCATGTCTGAAGACCTTGGGACTGTAGGACCAGTTTCATGGCTAATGGCCAGAAAATCTGAAGGTTAGGGGTGCTGCTATGAGTCCCACAGTTCAAAACTTGGAGAACCTGGAATTATGATGTCAAATAAGAAGATAATACAAAGGTATCCTGGTTCCAGAAAAAAAAAGCATACACCCTGCCAACCCACATTCCGTCCAGCTGGGGCTGGACCACACTGAAGGTAGATCAGTTTATATGTCAATGTCTTCTGGCTACACTTTTACATACTAGGAAGATCAAAGGTGGGATAAATGGCAGAACTGTTCGAAAGGAAATTATATTTAAATATCCAGATATAATATCCAAATAATTAAATATTCAAAGAGATACAAAGTTGCAACAACCTCTAGAGCTTTGAATAAGAGGAAAAAATCTACTTATGTGGGGAAACTGAAAAACATAAAATATAAAATGAACATTTAATCTGTAAAATTGATATGTAGTATCATAATTATCATTTATGTGCATATTTATATGAAATCTATATGTTCTATAAATCATCCATATGTATGTGTTGAACTCATGTTGATGATAACGTGATGCTTAAAGAATTTGCTCTGAAAGGGGTCAAGACCATGATGATGAAACCCACAAAGACAGCAGACCAGATAAGGGGGAGCTCTTGAAAACCAGACTGATGGCTGAGAGACCAACAGGGAACTGATCCAGACTCCATGAATGTAGTGCCAGGGAGGAGGCCACAGAAACCACTTGGGAAATAGATCAGTGTTTACCATGATTTATGAATGAGCTTTGGGAGTCCATTCCAAATAGAGGATGCTCTCTCAGCCTGGACACATGGAGAAGGGCCTAGGTCCTGCCCAGGATGAAATGACTTTGGAGATCCCCCCCAAGGTGTGCCTCACCTGGGGAATGATGTGGGGATTGGGTGGGGGGCTGGGGGGCTGGTGAAGGGACAAGAGAGGAGGGGTGGGAGAGTGAGCTGGGACTGATGTGTGAAACATACACGTGTCTAATTTAAATAAAAACATATATTGAGAAAAAAAAGAATTTGCTCTGTTGGGTAGTTAGGAGGCCTGGGCAGTCTGTGGGGCCTCTTGCAGTGGAACCAGTATTTATTCCTAGTGCATGAATGGACTTTGGGAGCCCACTCCTCCATGGAAGTTTACTCTCTCAGCCTAAATACACAGGGGGGGGCCTAGGCTCTGCCCCAAATGATGGGACAGACGTTGATAATCCCTCATGGAAGGCCTCACCCTCCCTGGGGAGTGGATAGGGAATGGGACAGGGGGTGAGGGACATGGGAGGATGGGAGGGAGAGAGAACTGGGATTGATATGTAAAATAAGATTGTTTCTAATTCAAATTAAAAAACACACAGGAAAAAATGAATTTGTTTGGGACTTGTATAGGGTTACATAGCTACAGTTATTTTCTAGAGATAGATAGTCCATATGGATGGGAAGTAAGATGTTTGTGTCCAGAGTTCAGCCTGCTTCATGAAGAGCTGTAGGCAGGCAGGCAGGCAGGCAAGCAGGGACATGCTCAGTTTTTGCCCAAACCTACAATCCCATAAGTTTTTATCTTCATTTGGTGGAAAGTGATTGAGTGGTTATATACAAAAACTATAAAGCATTATTTAGCTTTTCTTTCATGAGATGACATAAATTTACTATCTTCTGAGAAGGGAATTAAAGTCACATGCCCCTCCAAACTTTTAAATTGTAAAGTAGTAAATTTTTAGATTCTGGAATCAAAGTCTTATTGGTAGAAGGGTGTTTAGGGCAGGAAGAACGCATATGAGCTTTTAAAGTTCTTCCACAGAGAAACAAAAAGTATGTTGCCTTAATTATATTAGGCTTCACACTAATAAAAGCTGTCAGTATCTACATGATAACAAAAAGCACAAAATATAACTCAGACTCTAAGTCATTTAAAACCTTAAAGATTCTTGAGTAATAGATGAGAAAATTTAACTTTCTCTCCAAGGTGCACATTTTAGATCTGTAGCCATTTCTTAGCTAATCTTTTAGTAGCATGGTCTAATTACCTTCCTCTAACTGGGAGGTGTAACCCAGTACCACGATTCATTGCTTCAACACTAATTCCTGGATCAGTTCCTGAGCAAAGCAGACTACCATTCTGAGTGATATCTTAGAGGAGGGGAGGACAGGCAGATGATCATTAGCAGAATTTGCTTAAAAACCCTGTTAGTGCTTTCTTGGGGTTAGAATGTTAAGACTGTTGAAAACTTCCAGTCCCATTTGGTTGATTACCTTTATGTGTGCTCCACAGGATACAGATGCACAGCCAGCTATCCCTGGACATCCGGAACTCAGAGTACCTCACCAGCATGCCCCCACTGCCCGCAGAGTGCCTGGATATTGATGGTGACTGGAACACCCTGCCCGTTATCTTTGAGGACAGATATGTAGACTGCCCTGTCTCAGGTTTGTCTGTCTCTGTTGTTTTGAAAAGACTCAAGAATTAGGTTTTCCATGTAAGTATGGTGCATAAGCAGATTGTGCTACAGAAACTCTGGTGGTCACTGTTCACAAGACTATGAGCAAACTGAGGCAGTATTTTCTCTTTAAAGGTGAAGGAAGAGTTAGCATTAAGGCTTGTCTGGCTCCATCTCGATCAAAATATTCCCAGTACTTGTGTTTTTTTACCTATAGAGCTGCCTATAAAATCACACACACACACACACACTCCGAAGACTGGTGACTGGGGAAGATCTTTTATTCTCTCAAGTTTACAGTTTTTTATTTAAATTAGAAACAACCTTGCTTCACATGTCAATCCCAGATCCCTCTCACTACCTTCCTCTCTGCCACCCAACAACAGCCCCCAGACCCCCACCCCATCCCCCCTCCACTCCCTAGGGAGGGTGAGGACTTCCATGAGGGATCTTCAAAGTCTGTCATATTGTCCCAGGTGGGACCTAGGCCCTCACCATGTGTCCAGGCTGAGAAAGCATCCTTCCATGTCAAATAGGCTCCCAAAGTAAATTTGTAGGCCAGGGATAAATACTAATCTACAATTCGAGGCCCCATAGATTGCCGAGGCCTCCTCACTGACACCCATGTTCAGAAGGTCTGAATCAGTTCCATGCTGGCCTCTCAGTCATCAGTCTGGAGTCCATGAGCTCCCCCTTGTTCAGGTCAGCTGCCTCTAAGGGTTTCACCAGCTGGGTCTTGACTCCTTTGCTCATCACTCCTCCCTCTTTGCAACTGGGTTCCAGGAGTTCAGTTCAGTGTTTAGCTGTGGGTGTCTGCCTCTGCTTCCATCAGCCACTGGATGAAGACTCTAGGATGTCATATAAGGTAGTCATTAATCTCATTATCAGGGAGGGCATTTAAGATAGTCTACCCACTACTGCTTAGTTTGCCAGTTGCTGCCATCCTTGTAGATCTCTGAAAATTTCACTAGTGCCAGATCTCTCCTCAAATGTATAATGGCTCCCGCTATTAAGGTAGTCTCATCCTGCTTTCCTTTATTCTTCCCCTGATTCAAACTTCCTGCTCCCCCATGTCCTTCTCTTCCCTCCTCTTCTCCCCCTATCTTTGTCCCAGCTCCCTCTCTCCTCCCCTCCCCCCATGCTCCCAATCCCCTCAGGAGATCCCATCCCATTTCCCTTTGTCTGGGTACCATGCATATCTCTCTTAGGGTCTTCCCTATTTCCCAGACTCTCTGGAGAGGGGATTATAGGCTGGCAATCACCTGCTACATGTCTAAAATCCATATATCAGTGAGTACATACCATGTTTGTCTTTTTGAGACTGGGTTAGCTCACTCAGGATGGTTTCTTCTAGTTCTATCCATCCTGCAAATTTCAAGATTCCATTGTTTTTTTCCTCTGAATAGTACTCCATTGTGTAAATGTACCACATTTTCTCTATACACTCTTCAGTTGAGGGGCATCTAGGTTGCTTCCAGGTTCTGGCTATTACAAATAATGCTGCTATGAACATAGTTGAACAGATGTCCTTATTGTATAAATGTGCATCTTTTGGTTATATGCCTAAGAGTGGAGTTTCTGGGTCTTGTGGTAGACTGAATTCCATTTTCCTGAGGAATCTCCATACTGATCTCCAAAGTGGCTGTCCAAGTTGGCACTCCCACCAGCAGTGGAGGAATGTTACCCTTTCTCCACAACCTCTCCAGCATAAACTATCATTGGTGTTTTTGATTTTAGCCATTCTGAAAGAAGTAAGATGGTATCTCAGAGTTGTTTTGATTTGCATTTCCCTAATGGCTAAGGATGGTGAGCACTTTAAGTACATATCAGACATTTTAGGATACTCTACTGAGAAATCTCTATTTAGTTCTGTCCCCCACTTTTTAATTGGATCCTTTGGTGTTTTGGAAACTTGCTTCTTGAGTTCTTTGTAAATATTGGAGATCACCCTCTGTCAGATGTGGGGTTAATGAATATCTTTTCCCATTCTGTGGACTCCTTTTTGTCTTTTTGACTGTGTCCTTTGCCTTACAGAAGCTTTTTAGTTTCAGGAGGTCCCATTTGTTAATTGTCGATCTCAGTGCCTGTGCCACTGGTGTTATGTTTAGGAAGTGGACTCCTGTACCAACTCGTTGAAGAATATCTCCCACTTTCTCTTCTAGAAGTTTCAGTGTGGCTGGATTTATGTTGAGATCTTTGATCCATTTGGACTTAAGTTTTGTACAAGGCGATAAGCATGGATCTATCTGCAGTCTTCTGCATACCAGTACCCAGTTGTGCCAGCACCATTTGTTGAAGATGCTTTCTTTTTTCCATTGCATAGTTTTAGCTTCTTTGTCAAAAATCAAGTGTTCATAGGTGTGTGGGTTAAAATCAGGATTTTCAATTCGGTTCCATTGGTCTACCTGCCTATTTTTGTGCCAATATCAAGCTGTTTTCGGGACTATAGCTCTATAATAGAGCTTTAAGTCAGGGATGGTGATGCCTCCTGAAGTTCCTTTATTGTACAGGGTTTTTGCTATCCTGGTTCTTTTGTTTTTCCATATAAAGTTGAGAATTGTCCTTTTAAGGTCTGTGAAGAATTGTGGTGGAATTTTGATAGGGATTGCATTGAATCTGTATATCGCTTTTGGTAAGATTGACATTTTTGCTATGTTGATCATACCTATCCAAGAGCATGGGAGATCTTTCCATTTTCTGGTATCTTCTTTAATTTCTGTTTTTAAAGACTCAAAGTTCTTGTCATACAGGTCTTTCACCTGTTTGATTAGAGATACCCCAAGATATTTTATGTTGTCTGTATAAAGGGTGATATTTCTCTGATTTGTTTCTGAGTCCCTTTATTGTCTATATATAGTAGAACTACTAATTTTTTTTAGTTAATCTTGTGGTGCTGAGAAGAAGGTATATTCTTTTATGTTTGGTTGGAATGTTCTATAGATGTCTGTTAAACCCAACAGGATCATAACTTATATTAGATCTTATGTTTCTTTGTTAAGTTTCTGTCTGGTGGTCCTGTCCAGTGGTGAGAGGTGGTGAAGTCTCCCACTATAAGTGTGTGGGGTTTAATGTGTGATTTGAATTTTAGTAATGTTTCTTTTATAAATGTGGGCGCTTTTGTATTTGGAACATAGATATTCAGAATTGAGATTTCATCCTGATGGATTTTTCCTGTAATGTATATGAAATGTCCTTCTTCATCTATTTTGATTAATTTTAGTGTGAAGTCTAATTTGTTAGATATTAGGATAGCTATACCCAATTGTTTCTTAGGTCCATTTGATTGGAAAATGTTTTCCAACCTTATCTCTGAGGTAATGTCTGTCTTTGAAGCTGAGGTGTGTTTCTCTTATGCAGCAGAAGGATGAATTCTGTCTTTGTATCCATTCAGTTAGCCTGTGTCTTTTTATAGGTGAGTTAAGACCATTAATAATGAGGAATATTAATGACCATTGATTGCTGATTCTTGTTTGTTTTGGGTTTGTTTTTGGTGATGGTATTTTGTGTGAGTTTTTCCCCTATTTCTGCCTTTTCATAAAGTGAGATTGTTTATTGCCTATGTAATTGTGGCTGTGGATAACTTCCTTGGGTTGAAGTTTTCCTTCCAGAACTTTCTCAGTGTCTGTATTTGTGGATATGTATTGTGTAAATCTGGTTTTTCATGGAATATTTTGTTTTTCTATCTATAGTGATTGAGAGTTTTTCTGGATACAGTAGTCTGGAATGGAAACCGTGGTCTCTGAGTGTTTGTAGAACATCTATCCAGGACCTTCTGGCTTTCAGATTTTCCATGGAGAAGTCAGGTGTAATTCTGATAGATCTGCCTTTATATGTTAGTTGGCCTTTTTCCTTTGCTGCTCTTAATATTCTTTCTTTATTCTGTATGTTTGGTGTTTTGATTATTATGTGGTGAGGGGACTAATTTTTGGTACAGTCTATTTGGTATTCCGTAAGATTCTTGTACTTTCATAGGCATGTCCTTCTTCAGTTTGGGAAGTTTTCTTCTATGATTTTGTTGAATATGTTTTCTGCACCTTTGAACTGGGCTTCTTTGCCTTCTTCTATACCTATTATTCTTATGTTTGGTCTTTTCACAGTGCCCCATATTTCCTGGCTATTTTGTGTTAAGAAATTGTTGGATTTAAGATTTTCTTTGGTCCATGAATCTATTTCCTCTAGTTTATCTTCAGCACTTGAGATTCTGTCTTCCATCTCTTGTACTCTGTTTGTTATGCTTGCATCTGTAGTTCCTTATCATTTATTCAGCTTTTCTATTTCCAACATTCTCTCAGTTTGTGTTTTCTTTATTGTCTCTATTTCAGTTTTCAGGTCTTTAACTGCTTGAATTGTTTCCTTCATCTGTTGTTTGTTTTTTTTTCTTTCTTGACTTTCCTTGCATTCTTTAAGAGATTTGTTGATTTCTTGCAGTTTTTGGTTTGTTTTTTCTTCCATTTCTTTAAGGGATTTTCTCATATCCTCTTTGAGGGCCTCTATCATTCTCATAAGGTTTTTATTAAGGACATTCTCTTCTGTTTCATCTGCATTGGAATATTCAGGCCTTGCTGGTATAGAGTCCCTAGACTCTGGTGGTATCATATATGTCTTTCTGTTGTTGGATGAGTTCATATATTTCCCATCTTTTCTTCCAGTGGGTATATGGGATCTCTCCCTCTCCTCTCTACTGGTGGGTGGAGGGGCAAACCCGGAATGGCAGCCGATGATGCTGGCTGCTTTTTCCTGCCTCCAGGTTCCTCTGAGGGATTCAGTGACAGGAAGCTCAAGTGTACAGTTTTAGCTATAGTCATTTCTTTTTGAATCTCAATGACACTGTGCTAGTGCCTGTTTTGTGGTGCTGTTTGTTGAGGTTGTTTTGTTGGTTGGTTGATGGTTACTTGAGAAAAGGTTTTTAATATGTCATTCTTGCTGACCATTCACTAATTCAAGGACATGTTTAATGCCACAAGGCCAGTCAAGGACTTGAGAAAATGGGGTGTGCAGCTTTGAGAATTCATGAATAAAAGTCTCAGGGAGAGAAAGAACCAGGTTGTACCTATTGTTTGTATACCAGTGTTCAGCATGGCTATATTTTTTGTCAGCAAACCCAGAGGTCGACTACAAAATGACCAGACATGAAGAAATGAATGTCCTCTTTATGTTCTCACCTGTAACTTGACCCAACAACCATAATGAGAAAATGCCAAGCCTCGGGTTAGTGGATTAACCAAATGGTTTGTTTATTTACTCCTTTAAATAATTTGTACAACTTTAGAGAGGGAAACTGAGGCATAGATAGGAAAAGTATGTGTGAAAGACCATGTATCAATAAGCAACCAAAACCAACTCCTTAACTCTAGGCTCTGCTCTCTTATCTTACTGAGGTGTTTTAAACCAGGCTAGTTTGCTTGTCATTTTATACAGTGATTCAAGTTGACTTCATTTCAGAAATTCTGCATTTACAGAATCTAGGTGACTAGCAGAGAAATAGCAAGTTTGCAAACATGAATTTAGTTTCCAGTTGTACTCTGACATCTAGCATCAAGTAAGTGTGTACTAAGCCTCCAACCCAACTGGTAAGTTTTTAATGTGTGTGTGTCTCTGTGTGTGTGTGTGTGTGTGTGTGTGTGTGTGTGTGGTGTGTATATGTGATTTATGTGATTCTATGCTTGTGTTTTCATTAATGCATACCTCTTATATAATTTCCAGCAAGTGAACAGTTGAAGAAATTAAGCATCAAATTCTTGGAACCTCTGATATTTATACATCAGAATTGGGTGTAGATTTTTTTCAGTATTTTTAATTGAATATGTTTATAAATGTTCCAGTAAGCATAATTTTCAGTCTTCATGCATGTGATTCCATCACACACATAATTTTTAACAAAATAATTGTACCTTTGAGTGCTTCCCAATATTCTGAAAATCCCATCAAGACAAAAGCTCATTTACTCTTATAAAAAATGCCCACTTTCCACCTTGCCAACTCATTGCCTAGTCATGCTAGTATAGTATTGGGGGGAAATAAACATCATTGTGGTAACTATGTTCAAGCCAGTACAATCAATCAGTGAACACAATATTCTTTGTTTTGCTAGATTTCTGTTTTTGTCTTGCAGCACAGTTCATCAAATATGTACGAGACAGGTGTCAGCCTCCTGGCTATAGGGATAGAATACAAGCTTTCACCTTCATGGGGACAAGAGTTAACAAGTGGTATTAATATGGTGGGAGGGTGTACAATATGACATGTGGGTAGGAGGAACATTGGGGAATTTTCAAAAGAGTATGCTGGTCTTGCTGCAGGTTAAAGAAAGGTATTCAGAGGAAAGCAAATGCTTCTTAGTATCTCCAGGTTCATTGGTTGCACCCAGGTAAAGGAGGGATTCATTTCCCCCTCAATCTCTTTACAAATTACACTGTTATCAGATAATCATGTATCCTCATGTGGTTTGCTAGTAGTAGGTGTATGACTTCACTCTTGATAACATTTAATAGAAGTTGTATTGACTGAGCTTCTGTTAAAGGCACATTAAGCCTTTTAACTTTTATTTTGATTTTTAAATTAACATGTGAGGTACTGGGTCTCTTTATTATGTTTTGCATCGATTTTTTAATTCTTTGAATATTTCATATAAAACATTTTGATTATATTCATCCTATTCCCAACTCCTCCCTACTGTGCTGCCCACCCAGATTCATGTTCTGTTAACAAAAATAAAATAACAAACTCATCAAGTTCAATTTGTCTTGCCCAAATGTTCTTGGAGGGATGTAGGGCCTGCCAGGGACCATGGTTGACCTCTTCATCCACTACCCCCCCTTTTACCCCCTTGCTCCTCTACAGATCTCCTTTTCCTCTTTGGTTGCCTCCATGGTTGCTAGCAATATAAACTGGTACAGCCATGGCAAGAATTAGAATTGAAGTCTCTTACAAAACCCAAACCAGAACCACTGTATGACCTACATATGCATATTCTTGGATGTGCACCCATTGAACTGTAAATCCTACCACACAGAGTGTCTATCCCCACACTATTTACAATTGCCTGGAAATGGAATCAGTCTTGATGTCCATCGACAGAGATTGATACATTTTAAAGAGAACTCAGACGCAACATCTTCTTGTTTACATGTTATATGTGGGAAATGTCAGGAGTTACATCTCAGATCTTTGGGTATGACAGGTGTACATGGCTAATGTTTGTTACTGGGCAGTTGTGGGGAGCAGAAGAAGAAAGAAAAAATCAAAGTTAAGAGAGAGAAAATGAAAGAGAATAGCTTATAAAAACAGCTAAGGAAACTTAAGATACGAGGTCATACTTTGGTTCTCTCTGTCAGCTTCCAAAAATGGGTGTGATTCTAGAAGGTTTATGAACCTTCACTGTGGTGTTCCTACCTATCACACAGGAAAGATCATCTGATTACAGAGTTTGTTCTACATCTTTTCATGCAATGAATTATAAATGAGTGAAGGGATTGAAGGCTCTTATGGATCTGCCCACCCCCACGGCTGAGGATGGTCTAAAAGCTTCCTGAAGTCTACTGTTGCGTAGGGTGTTCATGAATGGCAATGTTGGAGGTGATGGTTAGACGTTCCCAGATCCAAACTTATCTTTACTCTGTAAACAGTGCACTTGTGATTGACATCTTCATATTTGCAAGTAGAAAATGCTAGTTGTACTCCAATAAATGAAAGGAAAGTGGTGTGATAAGAGAAAATAGCTGCCTTTTCTCTTGTTTTTTCTCTTTTATTGTTTGTATAATGAAAGACAAGCACTAACAACTCTCAATCAAAATTTCATTTCAGATTCTGCAGGTAAACTGACAGCCTGAAGTTCTGGCCAATGGCTACAAAGTCTTGGTTCATGTAGTTCAACCATATTTAACAATATTCTGGGATGACTCACACACTCGGGAAGGAGCTGTGCTCATGATTAAAGTTTTATTATTATAAGTAAAGGGCAGCCATATCTCCCAAAATAAAAAGGCGATGGATGAGGAAGGGAGGGGGAGAGGAAGAGAGAGAGAGACAGAGAGACATAGAGAATGACAGGGAGAGACTTGGAGAGAGAGATGGGGGCAAAGAGGAGAGCGAGAGGGTCCATAGGTTGAAGTGTAGTCAGAATTTTCTGTATTCTCAGGATCTTTTCTTCTCTTGGAGCATCCATCTTTGTTGTCAATCTAGAAATCTGAGGAGCTCATCTGTTCATTGATGTTTTCTTATGTGAACAAGATTGTGTGAGTCACTGGCCTCACATGGATGCAATCTTTTCACAGAAGTGTGATGATATTTCTTTTCCTTTGCTTCAACCCACTGATCACATGTTTTGCCATGTTCATATTTTCATTTATCTCATCAACATAAACTATTTGGGATTTTAACATGAGTCACCTGGCTATCATAAGCTATCTGTATACCCCTGAATGAGAAAGTTTTTCTGTAACTTGAGAAACTTAAAAAAAAATCTGAAAGTCATCCTCTTGAAAATGTAGAGGTACAGGACTGTTAAACTGTTCTCATACAATTAGACATTTGAATAATTTAAAGTGTTATTTTGTAAGTTACAGTACAGTTTTCTTCTTTTGTTATAGGACATAATTTGAGTGTTTATCCAAATTTTGATGCCCCAGTGACAAGTCCTGCAATAATGAATCTAAAAAGGAAAGAAAAGAACATTATAAATCAAAAATCACCTTCAAAGAAGGACCTTCCATTATCTACTAAAAAAGTACCCCAGTTGGACTCTGATGAGAATGTTACTAGTTGTCCAGAGATGGAAGAGAATGTCTCCACACAGAATTCTGTGGATGTGTGCTCAGAATCTCAGGTGTATCTGACCATTGGTGAATTTCAAAACAAAGCAGTCATGCCTAAAGATGAATGCTGGACTGACCCAAGGTGTGATGCTGTGAGAGATTCAGATGTGGACATGCACAGGAGTCCATGCCGTGAGGATGGGAAGGCCCCAGAATTAACCTACATTGATGTGAAATCTAGCCATAAGAACCATCCTCGAGCTGAGCCCATGCAGGGCCCTAGTGTGCATCATGAGCACAGGAGGTCTAGGGAAAGCTATGATATTATTAAGACTCTGCCAAGCAAAGTTATAGCAGGAATAAATCAGAATAATGCCATCAATGTAAACCAAACAGCTGCCCTTGATTTCAGGACTCTAGGAAGGGGAGCAGACCAGGAGGAAAAGCCTGTGCTGCTGAGCCTGAAGCTCACCCCTGCTGAGTCCTGTGACCCATTGAGTACTGCTCTAAGGGAACCATTAAACACCATGTCTTCCCTTCAGGACAATACAGAAGAGCAGGAAGATCTGTCAGTGCTCTCTGGCATCATCAAGAGGTCAGCCTCCATCATATCTGACTCAGGCATTGAAAGTGAACCAAGCTCTGTTGCCTTGTCTGAGGTCCGAAGCAGGGCCCTGGAGTTACCCAGTGATCGTGAAGTTTTACACAAAGTGGTTCAAAGGCATGTCCACCACAGGAACTCTTTAGAGGGTGGTCATACAGAAAGCAACACCAGTCTGCCCAGTGGCATTCAGGCTTCTCTTACCTCTATCAGCTCTTTGCCTTTTGAAGATGAGGAGCGGGAGCTGGCACTTACTAAGCTAACCAAGTCTGTCTCTGCACCCCATATTAGCAGCCCAGAGGATACTACTGAAGGTGCAGACGCCATGAAGAACACAGGAGGATTTTCTGAAGACATAGGCATTTCTAACAAGGACAACACTTCACCTGGACACAGTTCTCACTATTATCATGGCTCTAGGGTCCAGGATATCAGGGCGGGACATTCCCTTGCAGATATATCTATAGATTCTGACAGACCCCAGGGCCCTGGGTACATAGACATCCCCAAAAGTAAAGAGAATCAGTCTGATCTTCAAGGACCCTGCAGTCTGGATGGCATGGCTGAGAACCCATCAATTGTTGAAACCAAAGGTCTTAACTTAAAAATACCATGTACTATAGTGCTTGAAAATTCTAGAACCAGATCTTTTCATAGAGCAGCAATAGAAACCACAAAAGCCAAACCTAAAGAATTGAGTGGGGGTAAACACATACTTGCCAATAATAGCATCTTAGAAGCTGGGGCTGTGTCTCACCACAGGGTGCCTCAAATCAGTAGTGCCCCAGCTGTTGAAGCTGTCCACTTGAAATCTACAGGTGTACAAAATGGTTCATCAAGTGTTAATGATACCATGGCATTGAATAGAAGACATAATGCCTCTCTGGAGGTCAATCATGAAGCAGGCACTGTGTGCCCCACTGTGACTCACTCTATTGCCTCCCAAATGTCACGGAACCAAGAGATGAAGACAGGAACTTCCTTCTCTGGGTCCCCCTTGAACTCCTCAGAGGTCTTTACTCTGGACAGCCTAAAAGCAGTGGAGGTTGTTAACTTGTCTGTGTCTTGTACTGCCACATGTCTCCCTTTCTCATCTGTACCCAAGGAGACCCCTGCCAAGGCTGGACTGTCTTCCAAACAAAGCCTAACCCCCATTACTCATCAACCTCTGGGGTCTTTTGGAGTTGTTTCTGCCCATTCCAGCAACTTGGAGGAAGTCAGTGAAAGGATGTTCAGGTAAGCTCTGAATAGCTTACAGTTCACAGATCCTCAGTCATTTAGTTTTTCCCAAGTATTTTTCAGGTTCATGAATACTATTTAAACATGGGTATTTATTATTTTGGTTCCCTTAAATAAAGCAGCAATGTATATTTCAGAATTACAATAAGTCTATCTCCCAATATAACAACATGGCATAATTTTATAAGGAAGTTTTCTGTACAGATATTTGTCTCCTAAACATATTTATTTTATTAAAATAATAGTATGATTATTGTGACACTTAATAATTTTTCTCATTTAATATATTAAAATACCTTCCTCTATAAGTTCATTTTCATTCCATATTTTAATTTTTCCATAGTAATCCATTGTATTATGTACTATGACTTATTAATCAAATTCTTAATGGGTAGATATGGAAATTTTGTTACATTATTATTATACAACTCTCTATTGTGACTTCACCTTTTCATATTTTGAAAAAGAGATTTGGGAACCTTTGAGGGAACATGATGCCACCAGATTTGCCTGCTAAATTCCCTTTAAGATTGTGGGATTCGCAACAGTAGAACATATAGCTTGATCATTGTCTTCCATGATATTCATTTTATGCCCTCAGTTATCACCTATGTATTTTATTGAGCACATAATAAAAGTGTTTTGTCAGAGTACACACTCATTCTTCTCTTGTCAACTGCTAATAGTTACTGATTTTCACATAAAGAAGTAGTTCAGGTAGATGAACATTAAACATTATGTGTAATAAATAGTATTAAATACCTGTCCTATAACACTAGACACTAACTCAAGAAGTCATACTAGACATTGTCCAAAGATGTATCAGAGTTGTCCCTGCTCTAACTGCATGAAACCAAGCAAACAAGAATAGCAACTAAAGCCATTGTTGAGCAAATGTGATGATTCCTGCATGCTCAGTGGAGCCAAGATTCTATCCAGAAAACAATGGCTGCACATACAGAGAAAGGATACAGAAGAAACACTTTAGAGGGGAGAATGAGGATGCTAATGCTAACACTAGAACATCACTTAACTTGAAAATACACAATTGTACATTATCTGTAATCCAGAAGTTTATATGTTTTACATTGCTCTAGATAAAAACTAGGACCTTGCTCTTCTTGAACAAAAACTCTACAATTAAATTGTATTTCCATGGTACTGAAATCTAAAATGTTTTTCAACCTGGTGTGACAACATTCATGTAGGGAATTTCGCACCATGAAATTGTTTTATGTTCAACTTTAGCAAAGCTATTGCATTAAAAATACCTTACCTTCTGCTGGGCGGTGGTGGTACATACCTTTAGTCCCAGCGCTCATAGGCAGAAGCAGGTGAATCTCTGTGAGCTTGAGGCTAGCCTGATCTACAAAGCTACAAAGAGAAATCCTGTCTCAAAAAAATACCTTACCTTCAGGTAATATGCCTAGGCCATATAGAAAACGAAACTTAATTCTGTTTATAGACATGATCCTATCCTAAGGTTATCTGTATGTATACATATACATGCATAAATCTTAATAACAACAATTGAAACCTAAAACTCTTCTAGTTCCAAACATTCCAGATAGCCAGCAATTATCAAACAGGTTAAAGCCAAGATTCTAACCTTTGTAATCTCATTTGTAAATCAATGTTCTTAACCACCATCTTGTCAAGTGACTACAGAAACAACATCTTAGCTGGGTATAAAAGTAAATTCTGGAATCCAGAAAGCACCAAGGCACAAAGAAATCAAACCAACCCAGATAGCATGTGGTATCAACCACAAAGCAAGCAAACAAAACAAAACAAAGGAACACAAAACCCAAAAACCTGCACTGCTGTTGGGAATGGGGGGAAACAGTACTTGAAAAGCAGATGGAAGCTAAGCCATGGTAGACTTGTGTAACAGGAAAGGAACTCATCCTCTCAAGAGATAATTTTAAAGATGCACATGTCATGTAATTGCACAGAGTCTTGTAAGTCTCATTACCCAACCTCCTGCTCAATGTAAAATTAAAATAGAAACTTGCATAATCAAAGCTCTTTCTTTGGTTTACTTGGGGGTATTTAGTTTTTGCTGTCTTATTAAGAACAAAGCTTTGCTCTCTGGCATTTCCCCTAAGATTTCATTTGCATTTGATGTTCAGAAGATAATTTGTTTATGAATACACATCATTCCTACACACCAGCCCAATTCATTCCCTGCTCAACATGAAACACACAGCATGGCTTGTGATTAATTGGTATATTCTCCAGTTTTTATCAGGCCAAAGAAAAGTTTAAAAAAGAACTGAAGATTGAAGGATATCTGTACAGTGACTTATCTGTACTAGCTTCTGATATACCATATTTCCCACCAGAGGAAGAGGAAGAAAACTTGGAAGATGGGATTCACCTGGTGGTCTGTGTCCATGGCCTGGATGGTAAGTTTTACAGAAGTTTCCTTCTCAGATTACTATCCTACATTCAGTTTACATTTAGGAAGTAATTTAGGTCAGGTATTCACTCTAAAAGCAACCAGATATCAACCATGAAAACATTACTGTCAAGGAAAGTGGCAATGCACAGGACAGACACACAGACATATTTAATTAATTCAATGACATAAATTTTATCAATCAATGGAATGAATGAAGGAATTGTGTAGTCAATGGAATGAGAATTCTGAATAAAAGAGAGACTGGAGTAAATGAATGAGGAAGTGAATTACTGTTAGATTGAATGCCTAAATAAAATGCAGGAATTAATGGAATTTATGAGTCAGTAGAATGGTTCTAGAAGGTGAGATTGAGGGAATGGAATCAAGGATGCATTTTAAGGAGCCTGGGTTAGTGATTGCAACTGCTTTATTTTCTATTTTGTTGACCTCTGACTCATGCATAACCTTTTGTACACCATTTTCTCAGCTTTATAGAGTTAAGAATGACCTTGGCATTCATCAGTTCAATGTCACTAAAGGGTGATTCCTAACTTTCATTTTGAAAATTCTGAAATTCTTTCCAAAGTAAAAAATCTGGGAGCCCAAAGAAATGGCTCAATGGTTAAAAGCACTTGCTGCTCTTCCAGAGGACCTGAGTTTGGTTCTCAGCACTTATGATGAATGGTTCACAACAGCCTGTAACTCTAGCACCAAGGTATCAAATGCCTTTTACTGTGAACTAATTTGTAAGCATTAAAGGCACTGGGATTGGGTGGTTGTGCCTTTAATCCTAGCACTCAGGAGGCAGAGGCAGGCAGATCTCTGTGAGTTCAAAGCCAGCCTGGTATACAGAGCAAGTTCCGATAATCTCCAAAGCTACAGAGACACTCTGTCTTGAAAAAAAAGGCAATGGGATTCACCACTTGGGGTGGGGGTTGAGGCAGAAGGATCTCAAGTTTGAGGCCAGACTGAACTATTCTGTATATACCACATATACCAAGTTCCTAGAAATTGAAACTGACTGACTCTGACTCTCTGACTCTCTCTCTCTCTCTATCTCTCTCTCTCTCTCTCTCTCTCTCTCTCTCTCTCTCTCTCTCTCTCTCTGTGTGTGTGTGTGTGTGTGTGTGTGTGTGACACAATAACTCACCTAGATATACACATAAATCAAAGTAATAAAAATAAATCTTTAAATAAGAACTCTGGTCAGGCAATAGAGTTTTCATCTGCTATCTTATGCATATTGAAACAGAATTGTGTAACAATGTTAAAGATGATTTGCCAGTATTGTAGTAATTCAGAGAGCTCAGCTGCCCATGACAGCATCTCCTGGACCACAGGTCAAATGAAAAACAAGTGATCACAATGACAGTTTTCATAATATTATTCTGTAGTTCAAGAAGCATGCGTGTAACCTCTTCAGAGTATTATAGGATCTGTTTATTCAAATCTGTCTAATAGCATATTTATATTAAGAACCAAATACATTAAGACAAGTTATGAATATTTGCACAGGCTGTCTGTTGTGCCAAAAATCTCAAAGTATATCTTGTTGTAAATGTTCTCAGTCTAACAAATTGTTAAATAAAACTGTTTTAGAAAGCTTTAGGTTCCAGAAACTTTTTGCTCTTAGTATCTTATGGCAAGAAGGATAATTTATTCCCATATCTTTGTGTTATAAAAGACCAATCATAAAATATTATTAAGGAAATTTAGGCTATAACATTAGTCAATCCAGAAAGTCTTTATTTGTTGATATAAATGGTGTTATGAAACTTAACTTCCTCAGAAAAAATATGTATCTCTCCCAAAAGAACATGACCTTCCAATGACTTTGAGCCTTCAGGTTTTATCAAATTCTAAAATAGGCTACAGCATGGTTTCTCTCAAATCTTGAGTTCTTCCTAATATCATGTGGTTTTATTTAACACACCTTTGAATCATTGGGGAAATTCATAAAGACTAATATAAAATTAGTTGTAATTTCACTTACAGTGTAAAAGTTCTTTGAAACCATGATCTGTGGGGTTGAGTTATATGGAAAAGCATGCAAACAAAATATCCAAATAGGTTGCAACTCCTTTTCAACTCTACAGGGAACTAGGAGAGGAGCAAGCCATAGATTAATGTAGATACAGTAGAATGCCCATGGCCAGAATGTATGCCTAACTTATTCTGTCATAACAAATCCACTTCACATGTGATTTTTTTATGCCAACAATGTATTCTATGTGCTGCTTGTGCCTCTCTTACTAACAATTTCCTAGAATTGCCAACCATTCATTCCTTGTCCCTTGATGGTATTTTTGAACATTTGCAAGCTTATTAATCCATTATTCCTTGGCTTAGGGGTAATGCTTCTATTTAAACAACTAAACTGTAGTTGATTATTCATTTCTCCCTATTTATCTATAAATGATAGCCAAGTAACTTAAGAGGGAACTGTAACATTGTGCCACCTCAGTCCCTTCCAAAAAGCTACTGAGAGAATGGTGTCCTGGGAAAGGAAAAAAACTGGTGTGACAGGTCAAGGAATGGTTCCATCAAAAGAGGGCCATTTGAAAGAGCCCACCTCTGTGTGTGTGTACAGACTGGGTAGCAAGAGAGGAGAATGTAGAGTTACTTCAGTTATTTCTGTTGTCTGCTTAAAAATAAAGAGAAAATAGTGAGAAAGAAATCCCTTGTGACTCATTATGATTAATTATAGAACTGTCATTTTCAGGGAGCAGTGCAGACCTACGGCTGGTGAAGACTTTCATAGAACTGGGACTCCCTGGTGGGAAACTGGACTTTCTAATGTCTGAAAAGAATCAGGTATGATGGCACAAACTTTGGATTGAGAGAACATTGGATTTAAAGGAGTCTCTAAAGGCACCAGGATGATATGTAGATACATGAAGTAAAGGGGGAAACTTCAAGGATAATATCCAAGTGCTTGGATAGTTTGGAGAGAAAAAAACCTTACTATATTGCTTTGGAAGTCTAATAAAAATATGAAATAATGATAGGAGTTAGCATGTATCAACTGAATGGAGCCTTTTGGCTTAATTGGGTGTTGTGAATATGGAGTGGGCATCCATGGGAGTCCTACTGGTGACAGAGCATTGCCACCTGTAGCTATGAAACTTAAAGAACCAGTCTATGATTGCTTTACAATCAGACACGGTAGAATGAGGCTGCAATTGTAAGAAGTTCTAAGACTCACAGAGACATTAGTGAATCAATGAGAAAGAGATATGGATGATCAGAGAGTGAAGAAATTGAATAATAAGCATCCTTTGGAGGAGCAGAGTTGTTAATAAGGAAGAGCCCTCATGATTAGTGAAAGCAGTGGTTATACAGAGAACCCTCAAACATCAAAAGTGGAGAAGTCAGGCTAGTGAGATGACACAAAGTAAAGGTGTCCGCAGTCAAGCCTATATTTAGACCTACATACTAGAAAGTAAGAACCAACTCTCCCAAGTTGTCCTTTGACCTCCACACACACATAAATTAATAAATGTTCAAAAGCCAAAAAACTCAGCTTATTCCTCAAATGTTAGTGCTTAATTTCTTCGCCTGCTTTTGACACTCTATGTACAAGACCACATAACAGGCAGTAAGTAAAACGTACTTTGTGAGAGAGGAAGAGCTAGAAGACCCATCATCCAAGGGTTCACTATTTTCATGGTGAATGTCCCAGTTTCCTTATTCCACCTTTGAAACATCTCCATTGCTTACCAATAGCACCAGATCTTTACAGCACAGGGCATGAAGCCTAGGACTTCTGCAGAGAATCCTCCATCTTATCTAAAGAACTCCCATACAAAATTCCATATCATTTATGTCTTGAGCAATGTGTTTTGTATGTGACCATGTCCTGAGGTAGATGCTTCAGGACATTCAGATATGGGGGTAGAAATGACTGCCCAGTGTTCTCTGATCTTGTGTTGACTTTGCCCTAGTGAAGTTTTTTCTTCAGGGATGATAGATGTGGTAAATAACAGAGATCCAGTCAGGAATCCAGCCTTCATTGTGTGTTCCCCCGTATATTCTGTGATATGTTCCAGGAAGTGCCCCATCATGGGTTCCATATGGCTTCCACAAGCTAGTTTGAGCCATGTCTCTGTGCAAGTCATTAAACTGGAGGGATTTGTCTCAGTACTGATTAAGTCCTACTGTGCTATTACACTGTTTAAATATTATAAGTCTTGTAAAAAGTCCAGTATTGGTTTTGTACCGTACTGTGGTTTTCAGAGCATTTTTTATCATAGTGAGTGCAGTTTTCATTATCACGACAATTGTAAAATAATGAATATGCAAACCAGTAATTTCAAAAGGAGCCAAGAGGCTCTTGGAGACTAGCAGGTCATGACAATAGCAGCACCAATCTTAGGTGTATTGATATTTTCAAGAATCTTTAAGATATGAGAAAGAACACATTTCATTCTCCATTTTAATGGGCAAGGAGATGCAGATTCAGACTGTAGAAGCTACAGAACCAAGACACAGCCTCTGGGGAATTAGAGCTATAGATAAGATTGCATTTCATGAAGGCTAGCAAAAGCACTACTGGGCTGTGTCTCTCTCATGCTACAAGCTTCATAGCAAGATGGGTGACAATGGACTTAAGGATCACTCATCTCTTTGCTGCTCCTTCCTCTGGTGTGTTTGCTTCTTCAACACCCTAATTAGTATTTGTGAAAATTTTTGGCTGGAAGCTCACCCATCCCAAGATGCTGCTGCTCCAGCACTGTTTATGAAAGATGTTTTTGCTTGCAGATATTTACCCTAAATACATGTCTATGTTGTTCCCAGTCATATTCCTAAAATTTACTTATATAGATCAATCTATCATGACTTCAAGTACTTAGACACATGTAGAATTTCTCCTTTTTCTTTTTGTGTTCCTTTATCATCTGGCCATCCTTCATAAGACATGAATGGCTTTCAAATCTTTCCTGAAGCTGATGGCTGGGCATGAACTTGTAGAATAACCTGAAGACTCTGCTGTGTGATAATCAGGGGCTTTAAAAATTTGCCTAGTTTTCTTTCTATTGCTGTAACAAGAACCAAGTGTAATTTGGGGAGGAAAGGGTCTTTTTCACTTACAATTCCGTATAACAAGTCCACATCATTGAGGGGAGCAGCGGTAAGAACTCAAGGCAGGAAGCAGGAGTGTTGGGAGAACAGTGCTTACTGGCTTGCTACTCATACCTTGCTTAGCCTGATTTCTTTTTTTTTATTTTTAATTTAAATTTAAATTAGAAACAAGGTTGCTTCACATATCAATTCCAGGTCCCTCTCCCTTTCCCTCCCCTCTTCCCATGCCCTCCCACCAACCCCCCCCCCATATCCCCTCACTTCCCCAGGGAGGGTGAGGCCCTCCATGGGGTTGTCCGTAATATGTCATTTCATCCAGGGCAGGGCCTAGGCCTCCCCTGGGAGTCCAGGGTGAGAATGCATCTCTCATTGTTGGATGGGAGCCCAAAGTCCATTTGTATACCCGGGATAAATACTGATCTACTACCCAAGGCCCAATAGATTACCTAGGCCTCCTCACTGACACCCACATTCAGGGGGCTTGATCAGTCCAATGCTGGAATCCCTGCCATCAGTCTGGGATTCAAGAGCTAACCCTTGTCAGGTCAGCTGTTTCTGGGGGTTAAACCAGCCCAGTCTTGCTCATCAGTCCTCCCTCTCTGGCACTGGATTCCTTTCTTATTGTATCTAGAACCACCAGCTTAGGGGTAGCTGGGACCTCCTAAATCAATTATCAGTTAAGAAAACACACTATAGGTTTGCCAACAGGCCAGCCTGGTGGAAGCATTTTCTCGATGAGAGTCTCTCTATTTTGTGTCAAGATGACAAAAACCAACCAGCACAGGAGTCAAGCATGTCTTGGTATGATTTTGGCTCACAAAGTGATCAGGTGGTCTCCCCTCACAGAGCCTTCTTCCTCTACTATGAAGTCAGGCCAGCAGACACAGTGAGCTCATGTGGAGACAACAGGTACCGCATTCCAAGAACATAGACTCAGATCTTCTACTTTATTCCCCTAACTGAAGATTCTTCAACAGATGCCTAGGCTCTTCATTAGAGCCCCAGTGAAACTTTGTCTTGAATTTTGTCTCATCTCAACCTATAACCCCTAAAAGATGCTTACACACCTTTTCAGAAAATTTCATGCTGTTTAATGAAAGAGGATTCCTCATACAGAGGCCAATACCCTCTTCCCTTTTCTTCCAGATGGATACATTTGCAGATTTTGATACCATGACGGATCGATTATTGGATGAGATCATTCAACACATCCAGTTGTACAACCTCTCCATATCCAAAATTAGGTAAAACGAAACCTAATGCTGAGGGAAGATAGGTGACATGTTATTGTTTGCCCTATAATTATCTTTAGATGCTTCTGTAGGCCACTATGATAACTGAATTTGGGGCTCTTAATGAGTCTGATTACTTTTAGGCAGGAGTAAAAGAGTGAATGAGTAGCAAGTCTGACTTCTCACCCATATATCTTTCATAATATGGATGATAAGAATAAATATTTTGCTGCTGAGCAGTAAGTCTTAAAATTAATGTAACTGTCTCTAAGTTTGAATTCATGTTTGAATTCTCATGAGTTAAGGATATTCCATGTACTGAGTATGCAACTTTTTGCATGCTTTTCAAATCCTTGAGCCTCCACTTTGTTGTGTATTAGTTGGACTATCAGGAAACGAATGTGCTAGAACCCTGAAGGAACCTCTTGTCCAATGAGAGAGTTTCAGCCAGTAGCAGTTGTAGGCTCACAATACAATAAAAAATTTTGGTCTAAATATTTAGATAACTCAGTCTAAAGGCAGCATCTTGTCCTGTTTTTAGCATACAGATATATCAACAGAGAACTAAGGTCATGGTGTCAGTGCTTCTTTTTAGTCTCCAGGGATGTGATATCATGTATTTATTCCACAAATAAGGATTCTGAGGTTAGAAGAGGACACAGGACACAGTTCAGGCAATTCAATTTTATAGGCTAACATCTGTATTTTTATTTTTCTGATTTTATGTGTATTTTGAGAAGAGGTAAGATGCCGCACCTGTCACATTATAGGGTTTGGTAAAGGGTTGATTGGAATCTGAATGGAATACTAACTTTACAGATCTGGAAGAAGCAGGAAATTTGCACAGAGCATGTAGCAGAATGGCCAATCAGTGTAAGTGGGTGCAGACAGTTGAATACATGTGCAGAGAAATGAGGAGATGAATGGAGTCAGAACAGTGGTCAGAGCTGAGAGGATGAATGGCCTCCTGGAGAAGTCTAAGAAATTCGGGTTTTTATGTGGTAAAAGAGTAGGAGAACACAATGCTTAAACATATGGAATTGAGAAAGGATGCTATGCTGTCCCCAGATGGACTGAGAGGAGGCCCAGAGACCAGATATCAAGGGGACTGAGCTAATAATAGAGATACAAGATAAACACTACAGTTCTGCACCTCACCGTATTTTTCTAGAGCTTGAATTCACAAGCATTGGATGAAAATGAATCTGTAGCGATCATGTGTTATGTCAAGTCCTTTGCACCTTGGGGAAGATGCTAACCAGTCCCTGAGCAGTGGTTCCCTGCCATCACTCACATGTATCATTCCTGCCTCTAAACAGCTTCATTGGCCATTCTCTTGGTAACATTATCATCAGATCAGTTCTCACCAGGCCCCGGTTCCGGTATTACCTCAACAAACTCCACACATTCCTGTCATTATCTGGGCCTCACCTGGGGACTCTGTACAACAACAGCACCCTGGTTAGTACAGGTAAGACTTTGTCACCCTCATTATCCTTCAGAGTTAATCAGAGGCAGAAGTTATTTGTGGAATCTTATGGCTCTCCCTAATGTAGCATGGTGAATGGAGATTTAGTATGACAGTGTGGGTATATATACACAATGGAATTTTAGTCAAGAAAAAGAAATTATCAAACTTGCAGAAATAAATAGAATTGTAAATCAACATATTAAGGTAATATGCAGACAGACAAATACTGTGATTGCTCTCATGTGTGGAGCCCATCTTCTAGTTGTTAAATTTGACTAACATCCTACATTATTCCTTTACTTTCGGTGAAATGGAGACTATGTGTACACCTGACGAATGTTTGCATATGCATATACTTGTTTACAGTATAGATGTATAGTATATTATATGTATGTGTATAATTACATCATGTTATGTATTGTTTAAATATGGAATATATTGTGTATTCCTATCTATATTTCAGTATCTACTGCTGATTGGTTCTGGGACTCTCACAGATACCGAAAGCTGAGAATTCTTGTCACTCATGTAAACTCTCATAGTTTTTACATGTAAGCTAGACAATCCATCCTTCTTTATACATTATGTTATCACCAGATTGATTTTGCTTCCTAATAAAAAGCAAATGCTATACAAGAAATTGATTTACAATGTTGTCTATGGATAATGTCCAGGAGACACAACTATTGACTGTGTGTTGGCTCTGCAGATGTAGAACTCACCTGCACTGAGATCTGACTTGTGTGGGTGTGCGCACGCATGCATGCATTTATGGTTATGTAAGTGGGTGATTGCACGTGAGGATTGGAAAACAAAATTATGAAGCAAGCCGACTATCATCTATTCTAGGTCATACATAGCTGAAGTATGCACTGCTTGCTTGTCTATTGTTTTGAGGCCCTCACAACTTTGGGGTCTAGACTTGGAGGATGTAGAGGGAGGAGAAGCAAGGCTTGGGCTGGGAATGTATCTTATGATACAATGCTTGCCGAGTAGTCCCAAGGCCCTGGCTTTCATCCCCAGTACCACAGAAAAAAGATGATGGCAGAAGAAAAGAAGGAAATGGAAGGAAGAGGAGGAGGGGAAAGAGAAGGAAGGAGTAAAGGGGGAAATGGAGGAGGGGGCAGGAGTCAGGGAGGAGGACAGAAGCTTAATATAACATGAGCAGGGTTTCTAATGCAGAAGATTGTAGGAAGTTTTTGGGTGTGTGTTATGACCTGGAAGGCTGGTTTAATCAGCAAACTGAAAGAAGTTCTCAGGGATAGAACCACAGCACTCCACAGAGCAATATGGGAGACAACTATTTCTTAGCTATACATCTGACAAGAGTATTAGTATCTAGAACTGCAACCAAAGTTTTCCAAGAAAACAAACAACCAAATTTAAAAACAAAGCTGAACAAAGCATTCTCAAAAGATTAAATAGCACTGTGTATTTCCTGATTGGCTAGATCCTTTATGTGGCATTGGGGTCACCATTTCCCAATCACTCTGCAACTTCCTTCCAGGTGTGACTCAGATTCATGATTATTCTCTCTAGTATTTTGAGAATGATCTTTGTGTTCAGTACTTATTTGGTATTTATATGCATAACAAATATAAAGTCTTTTCATTGGAACAAACCCAAATTTATCTCTGAACAAAGACAAATTAATTTGGCTACTTCCTCCTTCATATTTATAAACATGAAATAATATAAAAAGTTTTTAAAAGATGTATTACCCACCTTATCCAACCTAGAATACCTAAAGTAGTTAATTCCATGTGGTTTATGTTATGTTTTCTACACATAGACATCTACATAATAACTACTGTGATATATGTTTCTCTGTCTACACACACACACACATGCATATGTATACATTGTGTGATCTCAACAACAAAGGAATGAATACCATAAAAACATGAAGTGCATTTTTTGCTGATACATAGTATACTCATGTTAGTATCTGCATAAGCACTACATGGGATATCTAAGAAATATGTATTCTAGTTTTGCAGTCTGGGGACCTTTATTGGATGCTCTTCCATTTGGCTTCCTTTGCTGAAGGAAACCAAATGTATATCACAGTATGCCTGGTTTCATTTACTGAGAAGCCTGTTGCTGTATCATCTTGCGGGACACTAAGAATGTAAATTTAGGAACTGGGAACACAAATCTTTGGATAAGAACACTGGCTGCACAAATATGATGACTTGGATTCAAGTCTCTAGAATGCTCGTAAAAAATTCTGTGTATGTCCATGCATTCATGTGTAGCTGTGACCCCAGTTCTGTGGGGAGAGGAGACAGAGATGGGAAGACTGCTGGTACTTGTGCTGATAGTCTTCCTCCATGTTTAACGAAAGACTTTGTCTCAGGGGTGTAATAAATCAGGAACCTGATACTCATCAGACACATGACATTCTCCTTTGACCTCTATGTGTACACTCAAATATAACACACACACACACACACACACACACATCTCAAAATGAAGTTTGATTATTTGACAAAGGTCCCATTGCTCTATTGTAAGCTAACTGAAAACATCCTCTTTGGCAGTTTCATTTTGCTTTTCTAATCCTCATCTTCCTTTTCCTAGGCTTGTGGCTCATGCAAAAGCTGAAGAAATCTGGCTCCCTTCTGCAGCTGACCTTCAGGGATAATGCTGATTTGCGCAAATGTTTCCTTTACCAACTTAGCCAAAAAACAGGTCTGTGGCTTTCTAGGCACCTGAAGATGAGACTTTAAGACAGATTCGCTTTGATACTGTATTCATTTGCTCCTGTGAAGTATGCTGGGACTGTCCAATAGCATCTTTTCAAACTGTTGAGAGGCCAAAAGCTACCTAGTGTCAGTCAACCAGTATCAGCCTGTCTCCTGTGCTACCCAGGAGACGGTGTGTGTAAGTCAATGCAGTACACAAAAGATGAAGCTTCTACTGCCTGTCAGTCTTGTTTTGTACTATATTGACAGGCCCAGTTCTGTGTTCCACCCTCACCCTGTATAGCAACATCTTTACCCCCTTATAGATCCATCCTCAGAAAGAGTGAGTAGAGCATTGTCTGTATCCCACATGAACTTCCCTTTATGTTTTCCATCACCCTGTAACGATGATGCAAAGATTAGTGTTATACCCAGCCCACATCATAAACATCAGGACAAAGGAAAGCATCAATAATGGACCACCTGTTGATACCTCTGTATTCAATTCATTTACAAGTTCAAGCTATTCCTTTTGTACTTGTCTCCCTGTGCCAAGAGGATTATTCAGTTACCAACTGAGGGAAGAAAGAGGGGTAAAACTGGGCATACAGTGTGCTGAATTGCAATGAGTTCAGCGCAGAAGTGTTAACTTGTTTCAGCCATGGAGCAGTCAAGAGTTGGAGTGCTGTTATAAAGCTGTGCTGAAGTAGATCATGGGGTTACCTTTGTCCTTCCTGGGTCCATATCAGCTGGCCATTGCTCTGGATTCTGCCCCAGTGTTTGACACTCAGGTGTGGTCTTGGATATGAATGTGAGGACCTACAGAGGCCATCAAGAGCTGTCAGCCAGCATCTTATTCAGTTATAAGTAGGCTAGGAAGAGCTCCATCTTCAGGTGAGGGCTGAGTGCAGTGTGTTGTACACTGTTCCCAGATGACCATGATGAATACCGAAATCTGCAACACTGTGGTGTGCTGACTTTTGGGTTGAAAGCTCTTCCATTCTCCCAGTGGGGAACAACGTGGGAAGGCAAAGTTAGAGCAGGGTGAGGCTGGAGAATGCAAGCTTGGAGGACAGAAGATTGGGGGAGGCAAAGCAAGGCTTTACTACTGAAGGTGACAGGGCAGGAGAGGCTAGGATTAAAGACCCAGGAAAAAAGAGAGAAAACTGTCTTCTCTGTGGGCTCCATAGTTACCTAGCCCACAGAGAAATGATTTATTATCATTGCTCGTTACCTTTTTGTATTTTTCTCAGTGCTCACAGTGAAATTTCTGTGAGCCTCCTTGGGTTTTATACTGCTGAGGTCAAGGATTTTATCTTAACTCCAAAACACAAAAGCCTTCCTTTCTCAGCTTCTCACAGCCTGCTATGCCTCCTCCCTAACTGTATATGGTGACACTCAAAATATCAGCCCTGTGCAAAAGTACAGCACAGCGTCTGGTGACTCCTCACTGCCAGTCTCTGATGAAGACTGCAAAATGTGTACAACCCAGAGGGGGTGTCAGTGTATGGGCCCAGACAGAAAGCATTCACCTGCCTTCTTCTTACAGGGTTGCAGTATTTTAAAAACGTTGTTCTGGTTGCTTCTCCCCAAGACCGGTATGTGCCATTTCATTCAGCCAGGATCGAAATGTGTAAAACTGCCCTCAGAGACAGACACACAGGTAAACTACATTTCCTTTTGAAAGAGACTTTCTAATTTTCAAAGTGAAAGTAAATTTATGAAATCCTGAATATATTTATTAGCAACAGCTGGACTCAGACTCCGGGTAGCCTGCACTGCTGTACTGATTCTACAGTGGAGTGGTGGGATAAGCATACTGTCTGGGTATGCACACACATTCCTGTTAGGAGTATAGATATTATCTCATGGGATGTGAACAGCCATTTGTTTGTCAGATGCCTGGAAGTGATAAGCTTCATTTGTGTGTGTTCATGGAAAATAGGAGACTGGATACAAACTTGGGTGATGGACTCTGCAAGTGTGTTGAGGGAAAAGTACAATGGATAAAAAAGGAAAAAGTGTATAATACATTCAATTTTTACCAGAGAGAAATGAGACAAGGGATGGAGACTATTGGGGTTCCATGGAGAAGTCAACTGATTAGGATGGATGTAAGTTTCCTAGTTAAATATGGGCACACATGGCCAGAAAATTATTCTTTAAAATAAAAAACTACTGAAATAAATCTGTTTTCAGAAAGGATTGGAGACACAGCTCAGTGATTAAGAAAATGTACTGTTCTTGCAAAGGATCTGAGTTCTATCCCAGTACCCACATTATATACTAGCTCTAGGGAATCCGATGCCCTTTCTGCCTTGCAAAGGCACCCAAATACATAAGTCATATGCAGATACATTCATACACACGTGAGAGTGTGATCATACACACTCAGACACTGAGATAAACACATAGACACAGACACAGAAATAAACACACAGGCACACAGTCACACACATAGATACACACTGACATAGAAACACACATATACAAACACACATAGACACAGGCACTCACAAACACATGCACACATACACACATGCACACACACACACACACACACACACACACACCATGCTACAGTATTTTAACATGATTTGTTCCGCATGGTGTTATACCCAATTCCCTGTGCTTAAATTATCATATATACACACATCCTTTTTAAAACTTTGCTTATTTTGTGGATAAATAACAACTTCAATAAAAATACACAATTTACTGAACCTATATATATGGTTCATCTTGTTTAGAAACATAAACGTTTATTGTGGTAGAAGCCTTTGTGTGATTGTGTAGTGCTACAGAAAACAAAAGTAAAAATTAATCCAAGCCAAATAGTCTTTGAAATAATTATTCCAGCTTTCCTTTTGTACTGGAATGCCTTAGGGGCTGTCTCCCTTCTGTTTCTGAGATATTAATTTAAATACACTTACTAAAAATTTTCAACCCAATAATGATTTCATGATTTTTGATGATTGATTGATTTTTAGATTTGTTATTTGCCTTGAGCACACTGCTCTACTCTACACAAATGTAAAAGAGTCGATGACCTGGTTTTAAGTTCAGACTTGACCAGAGTTCATCACGGTCAGAAGACCGTGTCATTGTTAGTAGACTGCCAAGCCTTTTTCTTCTGTGGTCATTCACTAACTTTCTTTTTTGCTAAATATAACCTACAGGCATGCCCCTTTGCATGCATTGCCAGCTTCAGGGCCAGACTTGAGACGTGTGTTGGTGACACTCCTGTATGGCTCCCGAGCCTATTTCATGTGCTGGCAAGTTATGACTGCCCTGTGTTAGAACACAAATGCTGACAACTGTGGTCTTTCTGTTTCAAGGACGGTTGTATGCCCGTTGCATATTTCTTTTCCTCTTCATTGTGAGAGATGTAATTCCAGTTTCACAGAGGAAGAGAGAGAGGTATAGGTTGGGTATCCAGTAGGGTCTGCAGATGATGTTTTTCTCTAGAATTGGAATGACTCATGCTGCAAGCATCTGGGATTTTGTTAAACACTAGCTAAAAGTTATTGCGAAGTTGATGCCTATGTTCCTTTTTGGAGACATTTACTTATGCTCATCTACAATTTAAATCCTTCCAGGGATAGGGAGAGAAACAGCCCCCTCTTTTCTATGGTCATGTTGACAATACATTTCTAAAGGATTTATCAAAGACATGTGTCTTATTTCATAAATTTATTTGACTATGTGGGAAGATTTTTTGTTGATTTTGTTTTTATTAAGTATTGCTGAAAATCCTATTTTCTAAAATTCCTGTGATAAATCACCTGACCTCCTCTGTTCCTTTGTCACTTCTTCATTTTAGACATTCATGCAGACAATTTGTTCCTACCCTGAAAGCTAACCAACATGAAAGCAGTGCTTTATCTGAGAAAAATAACTAAGGATGAATTATGCATACTTAAAAATAATTACTGAAAACCACCTCTATGCTCAAGGCAACAATGTGTCTAAGCAGAAATTGATTTTCTGAGGAATTCCTGCATTCTGAGTGACTTTGCCTTTTCTATGTGTGACCTAATGGGCCATGTTGCATATATAATATAAACAGTATAATATCGGTAGAGCAATACTCTGCTTCTATTTCCATTATGTTATAACATGCAAGTGTTATCCTATGGTTACAGGCATCTGTAGAAGAGGTAAAGACTCTTCTGACCAGACCAGCAAGCACAGCTTACCTAATAACCTATCATCTATTCTTTTTAAAAAGTGCTTTATTCATAATTCCTTTAAAATGTCATACATGTATATATTGTATAATGCATCTTGTTTATATCCATCCCCATTCCCTCCTTCCAACCCTTTTCCCCATAACTCCCCAACAAATCTCCCATCCAGCTTCATTTCTGTGTTTTTTAATAACCCACTGAATTCAATTACTGTTGCTCATATACACATGGGTGTGTTGTGACCAACTGAGGTGTCAACCTTCCAGTGGGATTACTTGTAAAGAAAATTGAGCCTCCATCTCTCAAGAGCCATAGGCACCAATAGCTCTTCATGGGGGTGGGTCTCTAGAGCTGCTTTCTCCCTCCATGCTAGAATTTTTTATTTTATTTTATGTATGTTTTTATTTAAATTAGAAACATGCATGCTTCAAATGTCAATCCCGGCTCCCCCTATTACCTCCACCAGCCAGACCCACACCACCACATCCCCAGCCCAATCCCCACATCATTCCTCAGGGAGGGTAAGGCCCTCATTGGGGTGATCTCCAGAGTCATTGCATCCAGGACAGGACCTAGCCCCTTCCCTGTGTGTCCAGGCTGAGAGAGCATCCCTCCATGTGGAATGGGCTCCCAAAGTTCATTTGTATGCCGTGGTGAACACTAGTCAACTACCCAAAGCCTCAGAGATTTCTGAGGCCTCCTCACTGACACTACATTCATGGAGTCTGGATCAATCCCCTGTTGGCCTCTTAGCCATCAGTCTGGGGTTCAAGAGCTCCCCCTTGTCCAGTCAGCTGTCTTTGTGGTTTCACCAGCACGGTATTGACCGCCTTGCTCATCACTCCTCCATCTCTGTTACTGGGTTCCTGGGGGACAGTTCAGTGTTTAGTTGTGAATATCTGTCTCTGCTTCCATCAGTCACAGGATGAAAGTTCTAGAATGTCACATAAGGTAGACACCAACCTTGTCATCAGGTAGGGGCTATTAATGTAGTCTCTCTGCTATTACTTAGTTTTCCAGTTGGTGTTATCCTTGTACATCTCTGGGAATCTCACTAGTGTCAGCTCTCTCCTCAAAGCTATAATGACTCCAACTATTATGGTATCTCTCATCCTGGTCTCCTCTATTCTTACCCCAACTCAGCCTTCCTGCTCCCCCATGTCTTCTTCTACCCTCCTTTTATCCTCCTCTCTTTTTTCTGGTACCCTCTCTTCTCTCCCCATATTCCCAATCTGCTCAGGAGATCTTGCCTCATTCCACTTTTCTGGGGTATCATGCATATCTCTTGGGAACCTCCCTGTTTCCCAGACTCACAGGCCCTGGGATTGTAGGCTGACACTCCCCTGATCCATGTCTAAAATCCATATATGAGTGAGTGCATGCCATGTTTGTCTTTTTGTGACTGGGTTACCTCACTCAGGATGGTTTCTTCTAGTGCCATCCATTTGCCTGCAAATTTCAAGATTCTGTTGCTTTTACCACTGAGTAGTACTCCATTGTGTAAATGTATCACATTTTCTCTATCCACTCTTCAGTTTTGGGGCATCTAGGTTGCTTCCAGGATCTGGCTATTACAAATAGTGCTGCTATGAACATAGTGGAACAGACATCCTTGTTGTATGAATGGGCATCATTTGGGTATATGCCTAAGAGTGGAATTGCTGGGTCTTGTGGTAGCCTGATTCCCATTCTCCTGAGGAATCTCCATACTAATTTCCAAAGTGGCTGTACGAGTTTACACTCGCACCAGCAATGGAGGAGTGTTCCCCTTCTCCATATCCTTTTCAGCATAAGTTGTCATTGGTGTTTTTGACTTTTGACATTCTGACAGGAGTAATATGATATCTCAGGATTATTTTGATTTGCATTTCCCTAATGGCTAAGGATGTTGAGCACTTTCTCAAGTGTCTCTTAGTCATTTTAGTCTCCTCTATTGAGAAATCTCTATTTAGTTCTGTCCCCCACTATTTAATTGGGTCCTTTGGTGTTTTGGAGAATAGCTTCTTGAGTTCTTTTTTTTGTTGTTTTTTTTTGTTTGTTTGTTTGTTTTTTGTTTTTTTTCTTTTATTTTCCAGTTTAAATTTAGATAAGAAACAAGGTTGCTTCACAAGTCAGTTCCAGGTCCCTCTCCCATTCCCTCCCCTCTTCCCGTGCCCTCCCCCCAACCCCCCCCCGTTATCCCCTCATTCCCCCAGGGAGGGTGAGGCCCTCCATGGGGGTGTCCATAGTCTGTCATTTCATATAGGGCAGGGCCTAGACCCTTCCCCAAGAGTTCAGGGTGAGAGTGCACCTCACATTGTTCTATGGGAGTCCAAAGTCCGTGTGTATACTTGGGATGGGTACTGATCTGCTACCCAAGGCTCAATAGATTCCCTAGGCCTCCTCATTGACACCCAGATTCAGGGGGTCTTGATCAGTCCCATGCTGGATTCCCAGGCTGATGCCTGGGATTCAAGAGTTAACCTTTGTCTGG